TTTCTTTATTTACTGCAGGAGAGAACTGAAGCAGTAAGTTTTAAGGCTTTAGCTGTTCTGGAAGAGTTTATTTAGAGAAACAGCCTGATTCTGTTGCTGCCTGCGATTGACACAAGCTCATATAATCCTGCTGCCAGTGTGGGTTCTGCAGCAGATCTCCAGTGCCCAGGTCACCTCAAGCCGTTTGCTCTGGCAGTCAGAGGTGCTTCTGCCCAGGGCTGGTTGCCATCTCTTGCCCTGGAGCTCAGCTGCACATCACACTGGTTTGGCACACCACCAGCTCCCTGCCTGCAGGAAAGATGCAACCCGCAGGGGTTTGGACACTTCCTGGACTCTCACCCTGCCCTGCTCCTTCCTGTCTTGCCCTGCTCTGGTGAGGCTGACTTTGGTCCCAGATGACACCCAGAGGTGGTGGATGCCCCTGGCTTGTTCAATGCCTTTGTAGGAGCGGGGGTTCTGTAGCAGCAGGACCCAGCAGAGACTCCTAGACTCATTACTCAGCAGAGCCCTAGGAGGGGGACATCGCTGTCCCAAGGAGCATTTGGAAGATGACCAGTTAGTGCCTCTTTCATCCCTTCCCCATCTTGTCCTAACAATTCTGCCCCACTTCAGAATGTTCCTGCACGTCAGAGGGACGCAAAGGGCCACGATGCCCCTGCAGTGACTCTCCCGTCCCCCCTCTGTGTTCTCAGAACTGTCTGGAGGGGAAACAGCCACACATCCTTTGGGCAGCTCTGCTGCCGGATCCTGCCTGCAAAGGCTGCCTGGGCATCCCACCAGCACCCCTCTCTCGGAACTGTCACCATGGCGGTGGGCTCTCCTTGGCACCCCTAACTCCACAAGGCAGAGCGAGCGGTAGGGTTCCCTGGGACTTGATCAGCACGCTGAAAACTGCCTGCTTGGTTCAGTACCTTTTATAGTCCTTTTAAGCATTATGGTTATGCTGTTGTGACTGCGGAGGTAGGTGCAGGCCTGCCGATGTGGTCATCGTGTCTCCTGCCTGCTGAGTGCACCCTGTCTTGGTTTGGTAGGACTGCTGCGGTGGGAAGCATGGCTATGTGGGGCCAGCCCTGGCTGTGCTGCTGGGGGAGTGGGGTGGTGTGGCTGTTACCTTTCTCTTGCCATGTGCACCCAAAAAGAACCTCTAGCAGATCCCTGCTGACAGCTGGTGTCATCATGCTCCCTGTAAAGTGTCCCCTTCCCAAGAAAAAGCCCTTCTGTGGGTGGGTGACTTTGCCAGGTGGCTGTGGAGTGGCTTTTTGAGGGGAGCTTCTCTCCTGCACAGGCGTCTGGGAAGGTGGCAGGCGATGTTTATCTCAGTTGCGTTTTCTGGGGCTGGAGAGCATGTGTGTTATCATACAGCAGATGGGCCTGGTGAATAGATGGCAGAAACAACTGTGTTTCCTCACGCAGGCTCATTGCCTGCCGGGAAAGGAGCCAGCCAGGCTTTGCAGGGAGCAGTACAGAGCTTGGACAGGCTGCGGGTGGGTTTCTCTTTCAGCCTGTTCATTAGCCAGAGGTGTTGGTGTGGGACAGAGGCTGTTGCTACCACTCACCATGTGCTGGTAGGGGTTGTACTGTGTAAGGGTGTACAAGGACCAGCGTTCAGAACTGCCCTTCCAGTCTTGTGCCTTCTGTGACCTTTGGACCCTTAAATTAAGTCTGGTTCTCCAGGTAGGGACTTGAATTGTCCTTCAGTGTGGTGAGAGCAGGCTGCGCGCTGGTGTGCTGCCAGTCGTCAAGGCTGGGGAACCGGTGGCTTCTGGTAGCCAGCCGAGGATGCCTGTCCCGTGTCCTCTCCCATTTCTGTGTCTCCACTAGCTTGCAGAGAAAGCTGCCTGGCTGCCAGGCCCTGCGGCATGGTGTGACAGCCATCCCAGGGAGACGCAGGCAGGAAAGTCTCCTGCCAGAGCTCACCACACTGGTGGCCCTGCCACTGCAAGAGGAGCCACAGACCTTTGGGGGAATGCTGATGGCTTTCTGGGAGGCTTTTTGGGTTTCCTGAGAGATGAGAGAAAATCAAGCAGGTGGAAATCCCATCAGCATGGCGATCCCTGGAACGGACAGTGCTGGGACTGGCTTCTGCAGTGTGAGGAGGGGACCAGGAGGGGGACAGTGTGGCCAGGGAGCGATAGCAGCTCCCCAGGGTCAGTGTCAGAGCCAGGGGGCAGAGCTCCTGCCTTCCCTCTTGCTCCTTGGAGCTTGGATCTCCTGCCCAGCCAAGTGAAATGATGCTGCCTTCCCTGAGCCCACAGCTCGTCACTGCTCATCCAGCAGGTCTGGCGATGCGGCACGTCCCACCGTCCCCTCCTGTGATACCTCTGACTTTAAGGTTATCCTGGTTTTTCCCTTTTCTCTATTGGTATAGGAAGGGATTTCTTTCCATGGTCCTGTGGTTGCTTGGCCAGAAGCTGGGTAGGACCATGGGTGCGGGAGTGATGTGTGCGGCAGGGAGGTTGGTGGCTGGAGGGGCCCGCACTGCGGTAACCAGCACGGCATCTGCATTTAGAGGTGGATTTTCTGAAGCCGGTGCTTTCCAGCACAGTGTGCAGTGGGTAACAGCCCAGGATGCTGCCAGAGGACGGACGTGGATGGCGCAGGTTCCTGACAGCCTTTGCTTGCCTTTTGCTGATGTCTGTGGTTTGATGAACCTCACCCAGTAAGATGAATGGATGTGTCAGGATCACGGTGTCCTTCATGGCCCTATTTGCTTCTCCGCCTTTGCTGGAGCTGGGCACGCAGCTCCTTCCCTTTCTTTGTTTGGAGAATGGTCTCCCTTTCAGATGGCTGTGGGCATGGTGCTGCCACAGGGGAGAGGACAGTACAGGGGCTCACAGCTGGAGGACTTCAGGCAGAAAAATCAATGTTTATGTTTCTCTGAGCTGGTAAAGATTCCTTAAATAACTCCAGCAAATAAATACCCGGTGAAGTTCAAACGGTGAAGGCACGGCATATGAACCAGAATGAATTTTCAAGCACGCTCCTACAATAAAATGGATTTCTTTGGTTTGGGGTTTTTAGAGAAATGTTTGATTGAAGAAGGGAATTGAAAGTTGTATCTGATCTCTCTGGAGCGGGGACCTGCTCCTCTGATGGCTCTGGGGCATGGTCTGGGAATGTCGTCAGATTGCTGCTGCTGTTGGAGTATTCCCAGGAGAGTTTCTTGTGTGCCTAGCCAAAGGGAGGGTCACTCTCCTCCTCCCCGGGGGTGGTCTTGCTGCATCCTCTGTCCCCTCAAGACCCCACTGCTGCAATGCAGTCTGCTCAGCTGCCTTGGGAAGCTGGTCGTGCAGATGCTGCTGGTGGGGATGCTGGAGACCAGCCAGGAACCAGTTCTCTCCATGGACTGCACTGGCGTCTCACGGCTTTCACTGCTTACCCTCTGTGGCATAAAAAGTCGACTTCCCCTCCTTTGTTCCAGCCTTTTTTCCAACCGGGTCCTTGAAGATGTTGGAGAGGGAGCCAGTGGTGAGACTGCTGGGGTGCAGCCCCCCTGATTTAGGCTCCTGGTTCCTTGGTCTGGGATGGCCTGAATTTGCTGTTCCCGGGAAGAGCTGAGGGCATGGGGTAGACTCGGAGGCATCTCCTGCAGAGTTGTCCCTGTCTGGGGTCTTGGGCAAGCAGGGCAGGGTGGCTGGGGTTGGAAGGCGACCAGCTCAGCTGGAGAGAGGCACAGCTGGCCTGGAGCTTGGATTCAAGGTTGGGGCTTTATGCTTGGCTGCGTTACCTGTGAGCAGGAGTGCACAGAGTGAGGGCTCAGGGCTCGCGCTGCACACTCACCTGAGGGAGAACTGTTTTGTCCTTGTGCGAGGGAGGAGGAAGCAGAAAGTTCTGTTTCGGCCCCACCTTTGCTCGAAGCTCCGGGAAATGACCCTGTGCAGGGGACAAAGGGCACTGTGCCAGGCTGGGATTCTTTCTGCTGTTTGTCAGCGTGTGTGCAAGTGTGGCATCGCCTTCCCGAGAGCACCGGGAGGGCCGTGGTGAGGGACAGCTGCTTCCCGCAAGCCCAGAGGTTGCTGTGGCCTTTGCTTTCTGAAAATTGAACCTGCCTGTAACATATTATTACAATTTTCTGGAGTGAGGTGGCTGTGGTGTGTGTTGGACCCATTCCCCCATCAGGGCTTAAGGCATTCCCAGGCAACGCTGGAAGTGGAAACTGAGGGCTGGTGCTGACGGCAAGGCTTGGTGGCATCTCCGCTTCCCAGGTAAGCAGGGCAGGAGCTGGAGCTGGGACACAGTGCCCCATAGAGCCTACTGATCAGAAATGCCTTGCCTCTGCCAGAGGTTTGGGAGAGTCAGGAGGTGCTGAGCTTGGAACCTGCCTGTGAGCTGTTCCAGCGTCAGCTTGGCTCCAGCACGGAGCACGGAGCTACCGCTCGCAGGCTGGCCCGACCAGGCTCTGGCCCTGAAACCGATAGCCAGGTAAAAGCACCACCGTATGCCACAGCTTCTCTGTGCTCGGTGGTGTCTGGTGTAGGGTAACACTTATCCCAATGCGCATGAGTGGTGTGCCTGTGGTGGCGAGCCAAAAAGAGAGGAGAGAGACAGGAGCAGACGGCGAAGCAGCAGTGGGCTGGAGTGACACCGAAGGAGGAGAGAATTGACTCTGGGAACTGAGCAGGGTGTCACCTCCTCCAGAGAGTTACAAGCTGCGGATGTGCAAAACTGTCGAGGTTGGGTGCAGAGGCGGTGCGCTTGCTCGCCAAGGTGCATACATGCAACAGGAGAGGGGTCGGCAGGGCTGCAGGGCTGTTTCTTGTGCCCTTCCTGAAGTGTTTTGGGTGGAAGCCAGTGCATTGCCATGCACTTGGAGAAATCGTCCGTCAGTGCCAGAGGAACAAGTGCCTGGAGAGCAATTACTGAAATGATGGTTATCTCTTTCCTGGAAGCAAGGTCCTGACTATGGCAGCCCAGGAAACACACAGTACCCCACGTACTGGGTGGCCTTGGCCTCAGACTGTCTTATTCTTTCTTCTAGCCACTCCCACTCTCCCGGCTCCATGGCTGCCGTCCGCGAGTGGTCCTGCACCCGCTGCACCTTTCTGAACCCTGTGGGCCAGCGCCAGTGCTCCATATGTGAAGCCCCTCGCCAGAAGCCTGACCTCAACCACATCCTGCGGCTCAGCGTGGAGGAACAGAAATGGGCTTGTGCCCGCTGCACCTTCAGGAACTTTCTGGGCAAGGAAACCTGCGAGGTATGTGGCTTCACCCCGGAGCCAGGGCCCAGCGGCTCGCCCTTGCCTGTCATCAACGGCATCTTGCCCAAGCCTGCCGTGCTTGTGGAGCCCAAGGGCACGTCCAAGGAGGAGGCTGCCAAGGCAGAAAGCAGCAGCGAGGACTCAGAAACGAAGAGCCCTGATGAAGCGGAGCTGGAGGGCGGCTGGGCTTGCCAGCGCTGCACACTGCACAACACGCCGGTGGCCAACTCCTGCTCTGCCTGTGGTGGTCCACGCAAGCTCTCCCTGCCCAAGATCCCACCAGAGGCACTGGTCGTCCCTGAAGTCATCACCCCAGCCGGATTTCACATGGCCCCCTCCACCCCGCAGCCTTTAGCCTCTGCAGACACCTCTGATGGTGACACTGTGGCCACCCAGGGCCCAGTAGCTATGGAACAAGAGGCCCAGAAGATACCAGCCTTCAGTCCCTTCTCCCCGGGGCTCCAGAACAACCCAGTGCCCCGCAGCCGTCGGGAGGTACCCCCCCAGCTGCAGATGCCAGGGTCCGAAGCCTCCCAGCCCGTGGCTCAGAGCACAGCAGGACAGAAGGGCTCTCCACAGGGGCAGGCTAGGGCTGCTCCAGCTGCCCGCTTCCAGGAGCTGCTGTCCAACAAGCGGCTGAGCGTGCTGGAGGAGGAGATGGAGGTCAGTCCATCCCACTGGAAGTGCAGTTCCTGCTCCCTGCTTAACTCTGCTGGGACTGGCAAATGTGAGGCTTGCAGCACCCAGAAAGGCAGTGACACCATCAACCTGGTGGGGGACTCGGTGAGGTTCACCCCATGCAGCCCCTCCAGCCCTGACTTCACCACCTGGTCCTGTTCTAAGTGCACCCTCAAGAACCCCACCCTGGCCCAGAAGTGCAAAGCCTGTGGCTCCTCCAAGCTGCACGGCTTCCAGGAGCACGGGACGCAGGGTGAGCCGTCTCCCCGCTGCCCTGACTGTGGGGCTGGCGACAAGGGCGGCTGCTCCTCCTGCGGTGGCAGGGCCCCCTCTGCCCGCAAGGTTGCCCGCCTCTTCCCCTCCCAGCTGCCCACCAGCCAGGAGAGGCCGGGCCAGTGGGCTTGTCCCGCTTGCACCTTGCTCAACGAGCTCAAGGCCAAGCACTGCGCGGCCTGCCACACCCCACAGCAGTACGTGGCCCAGCGCAAGGGCCTCAAGCCCCTGAAGAGACGGGAGAGCATGCACGTGGAGAAGAGGCGGCAGACGGACGAGGGGGAGGCCAAAGCCCTGTGGGAAAACATTGTGACCTTCTGCCGGGAGGTGAGTGCTTGTGGAACTGGTCTTACTCCTGGTTTCACTTGGAGGGGGCCGCCTGCCACACCCCACAGCAGTACGTGGCCCAGCGCAAGGGCCTCAAGCCCCTGAAGAGACGGGAGAGCATGCACGTGGAGAAGAGGCGGCAGACGGACGAGGGGGAGGCCAAAGCCCTGTGGGAAAACATTGTGACCTTCTGCCGGGAGGTGAGTGCTTGTGGAACTGGTCTTACTCCTGGTTTCACTTGGAGGGGGCCCGTTTCCTGCCTCCCCTGTGGGTCTTCTGGGCACAGAAAGGCTGCCTTCTGTGTCCTGGATCCCAGACAAGATCTTCAACTGCAACAGCTGGATGCTGGTTGTTAATGCTGACATGTAACATTTTAAATTGGTGCACGATAATCTGGGGTGAAGGCGACCAGCACAGTTCACTCCTGCTCCAAGGGTGAGGAAGTCTTGAGTGTTAACTCTGAAACCTAGTGATATTTTAAATCGGTGAGAGAGAACATCTGGGTTGAAGGGGACATTCTTAGGTGGTAAATCCAGCTCCTTCCTTGTCGAAGGGTGGGGAAGGCTGGGAAGGAGCATGTCCAGGTTTGCTGTGGGCAGCAGCTGCGCTGTGTGGGTGCAGGCAGTCTGGTGATGCAGCAGGCAGGGGCTTGGAGCACTGGCAGGGCTGCAGGCAGAGGAACTGCTGCCTCTGCCAGCAACTGCAAGTGCTCAAGAACTGTGAGCTGGGCTGTGGCATTGTTGGTTTTGGTGTTTGGGAATGCAGAGCTGCAGCTGCAAATGGCTCACCCCCATTTTGGGAAGAATGGCTGAGGCTTAGCTGTACCCTGGCTCTGGGTGAGGGTCTCAGGAACGCACATGCTATTGCCCTCCCCTCCCACTGTGAAGCATCTGGCTCGATCTCTGAGGTTTCAGTCTCAAACAGCGCTCTCATGGCCCCATTTTTTCGCTGAGTGGCATAAGATGCTCCTGTGAATGCTGCTCTTTCTCTGCCCTCCTTCTGGGGGAAGCCTCCAGCTCTTCTGGACCAGATGGAAAGGGAGTTGCAGTCCCATTTTGACGTACAGACAAGGCTTTTTCTTCCTGAGCCGAGGCATGTGTCCGTGCCTGTGCCTCTGCTGCACAGGGCCCACAGGGATGTTCGGCTCGGGAGGGAAGCCGTTGAGCATGATCCTGTTTCGGGGCTGTGGGTTTTTTTAATTACTACGTGTCCATCTTAACGGGCATGGGTGTCTTTATAGCAGAGGGACCCTGATTCTGCTTATCCCCCTCTTTTAAGCAAGTGAATAGCCTCTTTTGTAGGCAGGGAACATTGGTTACGTCCAGTGGAATCAGGCCTAAAGGATGAGTTAGGAGACATGGTCAGGTTGAATTAGCAGCTGGCTGCTGCCAAGAAGGGGAGTCTGCCCTGCCCCATCCAGCACGGCTCTCAGTCGGAGCCTTGGCTGAGCCTGTTCAGCTCGCCGAGCTGGAAGTAACGGGCTACTGGATCAGCGTGGGCCGTCTCCTGAAAATTCCCCCTAAACCTAAATCACTACTCTCTCTGTTTATGGTAAGTCAAGGGCTCTGCAGCCAAGGGAAGGACTGGCAGTGGGAGTGGGATACTGCTGCTCTCTCTCTTCCTGGCACGCCTGCAGCTTCCCACCAGTGCTCCTGTTCGATCTGGCGTGTAAGGCAGCATCCAAACTTCCTTCTGCCCAGGGTGCTTCACAAGCTGCTCAGCCTTCCCATGCAGGAGGCAGGCCAAGTTGTCCTCTGCCTGTTGTCCCACAACCCAAGTCGCATGGAGCAGTCCCCCTTGCTGAGCTGCTCCCTGCAGGGATTTCTGCTTGAGCTTCTGCCGTGAGTGCTCCCTCCTCTGCTGTTCCAGGGGTGCCTTTTCCAGCACTTGGTGTGTGACTCCTCCCTTAAGCTTTACCCTTTCTCTTCCTTCTGGGAGGAGAGCAGAGCTGACCTCTTCCATCAGCTGCCTCTGCACTGGGCATTTGCTTCCCTGTGTTGTGCTGTCCCCTCTCTTGCTTCTCCCTCTCTCACACTGCTCTGATTAGCCATCCTTCCCCTCTTCTGGATAACAACACCCATCAGCACATTCTGCAGAGCTAGAAAGATAACCCAGGATTCTTGCTGCCTGTCCCACGCTCTGACATCTGCCTGCAGAGCATTTCTGTGTGCTGGGGAGGCCCCATCCCTGTTTCCCTCCACCTGCCAGACGTCGCTACCAGCAGCAGGGCCATGCGGGGTGAGGCAGCAACCTTCCCCGGCCTGCGTGGTCCCGAGGAGGTGGCAGCGGAGAAGGTCAGGTCTCTGGTCCTGCTCTGGCAGCGCAGGAGGAGTGAAGAAGATCGGGTTTATCACCTTGCAGGAGAAACAAGCAGGATGTCTCATCTGGCACCATCTGTGAGCCCGCTCCTTGCTGCCCAGGCACGAGAGGAGCAACCTGCTCCACTCCCCTCTGCGCCGACGCTGCCCCTGCAGCTCTCATGCCTCTCTTTCCGTCCAGTTTACAGGGATATTGGTAGTGACAACTTCTCTAAAGCATTCAGAAGTATGTGAAGGGAGACAGCATGGTGTGAAGGTAATTAGGGTGTTAGGCAGGCTTTCCTGACGCTGCCAGAGGATTGCACTGCTATGGCTTTGCATTGCCTTCCCATCAGTGCAAGGAGGTCTGTGGGCTCGTGGCCAGGCTCCCACTGTCTGCTGGCAGCTGCCCCGGCCCTGCTGAGACCCTGGCCATGATACTGGGGGGGCTGAAGGCTTCCTCCACCTCTGCTGCCTGGAAAAGCACTGCAGTGAGTCCGCAGGGGACAAAGCGTGCCATGCCCACGGGCTCTGACTCGTGATGGCTCTGTCTCTGCACTGCCGTGCACAGTGGGTTCCTGGGGAGCCCCAGCTGCACCCCGAGAGGTGTGTGCGAGGCTGGGATGGAGCAAGAGGAAGTTGCTGGCAGATACGGCAGAGGCAGCAGCTCGTCAGTGGCTCGGAGCTGACACTCCCTTTGCGAAAGCCAGCAAGCCCTGGGATGTGTCCTTTTTGGACAGCATCGGTATTTGAGCAGTGACATCTATTAGCTGAAAAACACCCTCTGCAAGAGAGGCTGGAAGTGGTAATTGGGGCACCACGTAGAAAGCATTCACGGAGGATTGCAGCAAAAAGGGAAGGACAACTACCAGTTTGGCGTACATAAAGGCTCATTTAAATCAGAGCTGGCTTTTGCTGAAAGAACTTAATTTCATTTAATTAACAGTAACAAAGAAACCCTGGTTCTTATTTCACCCCGCGTTAAACTGGCTGAAAAAGCTGCCCTTCCCTGGGTGAAGTTCTGTGCTTCCATCCTGCCTCTGTGGCCAATATCTATGGGATTATCTGCCCTTCAGTCCATCCTGTTTTATTTAATACACAGCAGCTATTGCAGGGGGGCTCGGACACAGGATACCCTCACTCTGAAATGGCTTGCCTGACTGTGGTCTGGCTGAATCCAATTGCTGACCCTAACATCCCCCATGGATGTGCCTCGGGGCTGGCAGAGGACTGCCGAGCCCAGCATGTCCCCTCCAGAGCAGAGGCAGCTCAGCCCATAGCACAAGGCTTGGGTTGAGGAGTGTTTGCTTGCCAGGTGGCCCGTCGCAAGCCTGCTTTGCCACTTGTAGAGGCAGCCAAGGTCCCCCATGGTCCAGCTTTTAGCACCAGCTCAAAGCATGAGACGGACCCTGCCCGGGAAGGTTCCTGTGGAACAGAAAAAGGCAGGTTTGAGTCGCAGGCTGGAGCTTGGCTGGTGTGGTAAGCTGGCTTGCAGCAGGGCTGAGCGCTGGATCTGGTGCACAGAGCTCATCTGTGCTGTTACCAGCAGGCATCTGGCCCCAGATCTGCCCCCCTGCACGGTGTCGGAAGGGGCTGCCTGGCTAGGCTGGAGGGCTGGGGGCTCCACTCCTGGGGATGTGATGGGAGGCTTTCGTGGCCAGACCCATCCCAGGAGGACCCTGGGAGCTGTGCTGCAGAGCTGCACACTGATGCTCTCCTTGCCTTTCGCTCTCGCAGAACAAAGTCAATTTTGTAGATGACAGTTTCCACCCTGGGCCCAAGTCTGTGGGATTCCCGGAGGGTGACAGCGTGCAGCAGAGGGTGAAACAGTGGCTGCGACCCCATGAAATCAACTGTAGCATCTTCAAGGACCGATCGGTGAAGTGGTCAGTGTTTCGGACACCCAGACCCTCGGATATCCTGCAGGGACTGCTGGGAAACTGCTGGTAAGGGGGAACGAGCCAGACTGACACCCTCCTTACTCCTTCCTCCTTTCCTCTGCTTCACCCAGCTCAGGATCAGCCCCCTCAGCCCTACTCAAACCCGTTTATACCTCTAGGCATGTGCCCCGTCCTATGCCTCACCCCTTACCGAGGGGCTGCAGCTCGCAGTCCCTCGT